TCCCAGGAATGCATAGTTCTAGACATCCTCAGTCAACCTGTAAGGATTGGACAAAGAAGCTGCAACTTGCTCCTGCAGTGTTTCAAATAACATTAAGGATATGAGGGAAAGGGCTTCAGTTGTAGCATGGGCATGCACACTACACTTTGTCTACCAGTGACATCTTAAAAGAAGCGTTTGATTTCAGGAGGCATTAAGAAGACAACAACAAGGTAGTAAAAGATACTTGCACCAACCTATTATCTTTTTAACATCTCTAGGATTCAAGGTGTATTTTCTTGGGGTGCACATTTACTATGTGAGACCTGGGAAAAGTGCAGCTTTTTCACAGAGCCAATAATAGGTACAGTAAACAAACCTATAGCAAATCTGAAGCTTCACCTTCCCCAACTGCAGCCACATACTGCATGCCCTAGGAAAATCTTGGAGTTAAATATGTGTCACATAGCTGCCAGTAACCATAATTCTTCACTTTGTATAAAAGTTTACTATTCTTATTCCAAGACAAGGAACTATAAACTTTCTCTCTGTTGTCTTCAGCTGTAGGTGCCCATTTTACAGTAATTGTATTAAATTTAAGGATTACACCTACAAGCACACAATTCATATATTCAATTTAAAGTAAATCACAAATAATATCCTGGAATATACAGAGGCATTACTAGTAACAAGAGAATCAACAGAACAAAACATCTAAAGTGATTAAGTGGACGTTACTACACGGGCAAATAATAATTCTTAAAACACATGCAGTGGTACTGTGATAAATGTCTGACTCACAATTTTATATTCTGAATTTATTCTAACACATTCTGCCTATAAGGCAAGAGATTTTTCAATAAAATACCATGTTATATTATCAGAATTATATGAGCAATACTTTATTGGAATACTTCAATGCATATTGTGATGCATTAAAATAATTACCCTCCTTTCTAAGCAAACTGTTGGAGGTAGCATTTAGCCCAACTTCTACTGAAATTAATGGGATTTGAGTAAGTGATCATAACTGTCTCATTAGCTCTAGTGCTACTTCTGATGAGTAACTTGGCCTGAATGCTACCCTGCAATAAATAATACTAAGATTAGAGTCAATGTTTAAAAAAAACTAGCAGAATGAAGAATAAAATACAAGCATTTGAATTGAAGAGGCTTTTTCCACAATGGATGCATCCTCACCAGCCCCCGCCCCCCCCCTCTAAAAAGGGGGGGACAAACTGCATACCATATTAACTTGAAAAGAAACCCTACATTTTAATCCTATATTAATTAACTCCTTGACATCTCCAGAAAATAAACGGAAGCAAGGAAGCTGGGGAAAAATCAGCAAGGTTTTACAGTCAGTTATTTTGCAATTTTTCTTAATACAAAAATTCTGCTGCTTTTAGATGTCAGCTATAGCTGAAAAATAAACAGGTCCAGATTTTTTTAAGCCCAGATCCTAGCATAAATGCCTATTGGGCCTTGTTTGCCAATCTAAGCCACATGGGTGCCATCTCCCGTCACCCTGAATACGTTTTGTGCCCTCACTCATGCTCTCATGTTGTGTTATGTCACTGTTCAGTCATGGAGCTCACTATGCAACTTTGGGTCAATAACTATCTCTAAGTCCAACCTAGCTATTCTGTCTATAGTTGTAGGGATAAAATGGGGGATCTGTACAGACTTGACCTTTCAGAGAAAGCCAAACATAAATGAAATAATAAATAAAATTTAATAAAAATGTGCCCATGAAATTTTAGGGTGGTGGGAAATGAATACAGACACTGAAAGGGAAATCTTACTGATTGAGGGATACATTGTGATAAAACAGGGTGACAGGAAATCAGAATATTAAATGAAAAGATGATTGTGACAATCAGTGGTGGGATTCAAATATTTTTACTACCAGTTCTGTGGGTGTGGCTTGGTGGGTGTGGCTTGGTGGGAGTGGCTTGGTGGGCATGGCAGAGGAAGAATACTGAAAAAACCCCATTCTCTCCTCACTCCAGGGGGAAGATTACTGCAAAATCCTCCCTCCCCACCCCACTAACCTGCTTTCCAGCTCCGTTCTCCTGTGCAGGGCAACAAAAGAAGACCCAGCTGATCACCTGGGACTCGAGAGGCAGAGAAGAGATGGGGGTGGGGCCAGTCAGAGGTGGTATTCCAAACTACTCAAAATTTCCGCTACCGGTTCTCCAAAACTGGTCAGAACCTGCTGAATACCACCTCTGGTGACAATAATTATAATATTAATAAGACTGACTAACTACAAACACCAGCGTGATAAAGTAGCAAAAATGGTGCATTGGAATATCTCCAAGACACATCATTTGCCTGCAAGCAAGAATTGGTGGGACCACAAAATTGACAAACTAATCGAAAATGAAGAAACTAAAGTGTTCTGGGACCTTAAAATTCAAACAAAAAAGCATCTGTCATGTAACACCCCAGACTTAACAATTGTTGATAAGAAAGCCAAAAAAGGCTGGGTAGTGGATGTAGCATTACCTGGTGACAGCAGAATAAAGACAAAGAACTGGAGAAGATCACAAAATGCAAAGACCTTCATATAGAAACAGAAAAATAGTGGCAAAAGAAAATAAAGATAGTACCAATAATAATATTGTATGCCTTGGGTACAATCTCAAAACATCTGGAGCATCACTTGAACACTACTGGCATTGACAAAATTATCAGTCAATTGCAAAAGGCAGCATTATTCGGAACAGCTTGCATGCTATGACAATGCCTTTAACACCATCATACAATAACACTTGCCTTGGAAAGGACTCAATAGGACACATCAGTCATGCAAAATTCTAGGTAAATAGTAGAGAATCTGGAAGCCTCGACCTGTCCTTTAGATACTTCCTGTTTGCTTTCTGGGGTGAAGCTTCACCATCCACAAGGGAGAAGAGCATTTTCGAAGCTTCTGCTATCTTCCAATCGGAACACACGGCCACTATTTAAAAAAAGCTGCTGATCAGACTTATATTCTATAATTATATTTAGATCTATTCAAGTACATCAATCAGTTTCACTGTATAATAAAGGGCTTAGGTACAAAGAAAAGAAATCTGGCATTTGGATCACCGCACTTATCTAAATGAGTGTTCCTAAAATAATTTGGGGACACTTTCTGCAGAAAAATCATTTGATTTGAATCAGAGGCAGAAATACATTTCTCCAAAAAAATTGTAACTATGTAACCTACATGCATCTGGACCGCAACTGGTTCAAGATAAGTTTCTTATGCAAATGATATTCAACCTCAAGAAGAAGGTGGATAATGGAATTATTGAAAAGTCAGCTACTCATCAGAAGATGACAGAAAAATCAGGCAAGGTCCTAATATATGGGTAAGAAGCAAATGGACTTGTTACAATCACTGCTTTTAATTTATCAAAGCAAAGCTGTCACAAGTCAGACACTGACAAATGTGTATCTAATGCATATAAATGAGCCAATTATCACTAATGGTTGGACAGTTCAAAGCTGTATAGACTTCATTTTTATTACATTTTTTTTTTAAGAAATGAAATTTTAAGTGGAAACCAAACCATCTATAAACAATGATTGACAACCTAAACAGTTGTGTTTTATCATAAACATTTTCTTCAGAGAACCTAAATGCTAGAATAGTCTGAATAATTCTGAAATATAGCTCTGCCATGATTGATCATCACAGCACTGTCAGCAGGAGTCTTACAAAAAAAAATTTTTCCCAGATCCCAGAGGAGAGCTTGAGCTTCAGGGTAACATTCTGGATGCCCCCACAGATCAATCCCATATATATCATATTTAGACCACCGAATAGTAAAAGTGTCATATACATATATGCATGCACATACACATACACATACATATATACATGGTACTCAGTAAGAGCTTTAAGGATTTTTAAGCTGTACAACTTGATTGTATCGTATATGTTTCCTCAGATTGTAAATAAAAAAAATTGACCAGTTTCAACAATTAAGAACATGAACATTTATTATATTGTTCAGCAGACATTTTTAACATTCGTGAAGCTTATAGGTTTTGTTCAACTTAGTCACTTGGTTCTAACTTAGGTTGAGTATGAAGTCAGTCACTGTGGTTTTCAATCTATGATTTATCTCATATGGTTGTGTGTAAACTGGGTATTCAATCAACCAACTGATAATTTGTATTATGAACCCAGTCTGTTACTTGATGTTTAGAGCTGAAGAAGAGCTGAAGAAGCTTCTTGAATGAGAAGTGAAATGTCTTCGAAAAGAAACCAGAAGGTCCATTTGCCTCTTGAAAAAGCACCTCTGGGACAACCATGACCTGGATGACTGAGAATCTCCACAGACATCTAGCAATATAAGTTAATATTTATTCACATCACTGAAAAATTATAATAAGATAATGCCTCTTCCCAATCTAGTTCATTCCGCACATTCTAGTGAAAAAATATGAGCTGGAGTGAAATCCCCGATGCCAATTCCAATCATTAGTTGAACCATTCCTCTCAAGAGATCTATACACCTTGGTTGTAATTTAGCACAGCAGAAATACTATGAGTGATTCCATTTGGCAGGAAGATAAGAGGTAATGTGATATAATAATTAAGATCATGAATTAGATGCAGAAAATGCCAAGAAAATCAAACCTTCATCCACAGAAATTCCCCAAATGAGATGTTGGCCTAGTTAATCTCTCTCAGCTCAACCCACTTATTAAGGTTGTTGCTATAAGGGGAAAAAAGGAAAGAAGAAATTCCGTATATCACCTTGAATTCCCAAATCAAAGGTCAGATATAAATAAAATTTTACAATAAAGTAAATATGCTATCAAATAAATATGAATAATAATAAATGTATAGTTAAGATCTGTACCTACCAAGAGTCACAGTACTTTTTTCAAATGTAATATAAAATGAAAAAAATGGCTTTTGTCCCCTTACATCTTTGTTCATTTCCAAAGTTTACCACAGATCAGTTCACAGTGCCTTTAAAAATAAGTGTTTCAACCCCAAAAATGGTATTACTTACTGAGAAATGAAGTGGTTGAATCCTCTGGACCAAGTTTCTGGTTGGAACAGCGTTGGAGGGGGATTCCTGAAAAATATGCAGGCACTTTGTATGAACAGCTGAAAAAGTCAAACCAATTGTTCAACACTAAAATCTGTTGTTGACGTTATCCAGAAGGAATTGTTTCCGGATACTTTCAATGTGGAAGATATCCATGGATCGTTCCTGCTATTATCTGATAAATGAAATTGCTTGTCTTGGCCATTCATTTTCTTTCAAACAGTTTCAGGAAATTTAGACAAGGATTCAGGATTGTAGCAGAACAACTGGGCCCCAAATAGTTACATATTCTGATGAAAGAAGTCCTCCTATACCATTTCTATAGGCAAAGGTTTCTTCCAGATGGCAAATCGAAAAGATGTAACTAGCCACAAATATGACACTTTCAGAGCTACTCCCCTCACAGAAAAATCTGCTATGTACATCTCACAATGAATTCTGAGTGTATGCATTTGTTAAAAATAACGTAAATAACAACAACAACAATAATGTTATATGTGCCTAATAGATTAGAGCAATGGAAATGAAAAAATAACAGTTGATTGTTTAATTTCTCCCTATGCCTGTGTCTGGGTTGTGTGCATGTGTTGAAAACTGAACAAAACATAGCTAGAAAATAATAGCTCTATAATGAATGGCTCACTTTCATCTGCATCTATCTGAAAACCATTTCTGCTATCTCATTTTCTGCAGATTGTCATATTATCTGAGCCAAATGTATTATTACTTTTCTCTTTTCATACAGTACAGGTTCAAAATGAGCAGGGAAAATCCAAAATACTTGCCGGATATGCATCATTTATCACATTTACTATTAGGAAGCAATGTGATGGGTTATATTCGATGACATTAATGCTTAGGCTCATGTTCCATTAAATAGGTTCTATCACCACCTGCATCAGAGCCTCAGATGCAAGATATACAAATCCCATCTGCGAAGATGAATTGAGGCAATAGCTACTTGCATCTGCTTTTAAAAAGTCTGTACAAGTCCAATAATTGGTTAGGAAAGCAACTAACCAAGCATACTAACAAAGTCTTCAGGAGACAATCGGAGACTTTATAGAGCAAAAGTCCATTGGTTCTTTTGGCCATATGATCCTTGGTGAGAATAAAATTATAATGTCGCCTTGCCCCAGTAGAAATCCCCTATAGACAAATGGCTTTCTATCTTAGTAAGCAATCAGAGTAGCTTAACCTGCAGAGGCCATGTTGGACTCACTCTCGTGGTTATACTAATGTGCCATCCTTCACTCCTGAGCCCACAGAAAAGTATGCCAATACAAATTGCCCTGCACCAACCAGCCAAGTTCTCAGTTCTCTCAGCTTCAAATAAAGTATTTTTCAAGCCTCTAGTTGGCAGTGTTACAAAGTTTCTTTCATCCACTCCCCCTTCTTTCCCAGAAAAAGCATAATAAAAAAAGAAGATATATGTGTGTGTGTGTGTGTGTGTGTGTGTGTGTGTATGTGTGTGTGTGTGTGTGTGTGGCATTCAGCTTTGTTCAGGTATTTTCCCATGTCATAGTAGTTGTGCTTTTAAAGTTGTAGCGACGTTTCGGCAGAATCTCATCTGTCATCATCAGGCTTCTGTATAGTG